TCCTACTTCCGTAGTGATACTGCCTCGGAAACCCAAGGAGGGGTCGCTATGAGTCGGGGCCGACTCCACGGCACATAACAACAACAACAACAAAGCCTGAGGGATTGTGTCTGATTCACTGCTGTCCAGACCTGCTTCCCTTTGGGGACAAGTCAGGCCTTCAGACGCTGCCCTCTACCCCTTCCATGGAGAAATTAAGAACACACTGTGGGTTCAGGGGAAGAATTCTCCCACTCCACGCAGAAGATCAGAGTTCGATTCCCGGCCAGCCACCACCCGTCTGTCGGTAAAGCTTGCTACGATTCTGAGCCGGTTTCAACGGAGCTTCTAGACTAAGACAGTTGGAAGAAAGATCTAGTGCACTACTTCCAAAAGTAGCCAATAAAAACTCTGGATCACACCGCTCGATCTGGTTGTATATGGGGTCGCTGTGAGTCGGGGCTGACTCTGTCGCAGAGATCGTCCTAGCTCAGGCTTCCTGCCGCACCCCGTGGCTATGTAGGGTAAAGGTACCCTCTGGTTCCCACAGTGCCCTGTGTGACCTCAGTGAGAATAGAGTCTGCGTACTAAGTCAATTCAGCAATGAATGCAGCCTAGGGGTGGAAGCGAGGAGCCAACAAGCCTTGGATTGGACTCTGGGCCCTACTCGTTCCTAACTGAGTGACCGCTCTGTGCCTCAGTTTCTCCGCATGTCAAACATGGGGAAACGGGGGAACGTGGTCATGACCCCAGAGGGTCCCGTGTCCGAAGGACCAGGGATCGAATGTCAGAACCGCACAGTCCTTGGCCTTGGCCCCCAGGTGTGATTTGGACTTGTGGGGCAAGAGCAACAGAGAGCAAAGATTACAAGATCCCTCAAGTGTGCACACGTGATCCCTGAAGCACACGGCCGCGGGGTTCAGGGAGATGGGAAGGGGGACCCGGTCACCTTCACGGCGAAGTCGATGACCCTCTTGACACCCACGAGCGCACGCAGCTCCGCCATCTTCCCGCTGCCACCGCCCAGCCGGCCGGGTTAATCCGCACCCTCCGCCTGTGGCCCGCGCCGGCCAGATCCTCCGCCCCATCCCTCTCTGCGCCTGCGCACCGCCCCACCAGCCAATCCACTGCCGCGGTTCCCGCCCCCGGGACAGAGGCCCAATCAGGCCAGGGGGAGGGAGGTGCCCAAGTGGATGCGGACCAATGAGACGCAGAGAGGCGGGACCCGGAAGGAGAGTAGGGGGAGAGCTTTGTGGCCGGGAACTAGGAGAAAGGTCGTTCCGGGAAGAGCAGCCCGCGGGGACTGGAAATCCTTTCCATTTTCCTAGACTCTTCCCAATATTTCTGGATCGTCCTTCACTTTCCAGTTCCCTCCCTTCTTCCTTGCTCTCCTCGGCACAGAAGCCTTGTTCCCACGCCCACCCCGTGCCCGTGTCCCCATGCTCCCCGCCCACTTGTTCCCACGCCCATCCCGTGTCCGTATGTGCACGCCCGTGTCTCCCGTGTCCGTTTCTCCCTGTTCCCTCCATTCCGTGTTTCCTGTCCCCTCATATCCGCGTCGCCCCCGCATCCGTGCATCCACAACTTCCCCATACGCCTACGTCCACTTATCAAGTGCCCAAATCCAGGCCCCTTGTCCACTCTGTGTTCCTGCCTCCTCGTCCGCGTCCACCGAGTCTCCACGTTCCGTGTTCATGTTCTCATGTCCTCCCTGCGTCCGCACGACCCCAGAAAGACGCGCGGAGCCGCGGCGGGAGAAGCCGTTGCTTTATTCCGCCCAGGCCGGCCGCGGTCACAGGCACACGGGGAATCCGCTGATGGCGTCGGTACTCTGCATGATCATATCCGCCAGCAGAAAGCACAGGCCTGGCGGGAGGGGAGCGGAGGGAGGTAGGTCCTGGGCAGGTAACAGGGCGGGCCCCGGGGTCTAGGGTTTTGCTGCTCGGAGGGCGTCTCTGCCGGGTCGAGGGGGGCGTGTCTTGGGTCGGGAGCAGGGTCCCTGGGAAGTTGCTGTGAGGTTTCCAGGGAGGAGGGCAGGGTGGGTGGGTGAGGGGTCTCTGGGCAGTCTTCTCTACCCCGCAGTCCAGGTTACCCGCGAGAACAGAAAAAGGTAAAGCCAGCCACCCCGAAAAATAGGACCAGGAGAAGAAGACGTCGGACTTCCACGCATCCTTCACGGTGTAGCCTGTCATAGCGATCAGCAGCAGCAGCCCTGGCCCCCGCACGCCGGGCACGTGAGCGCGGCCTGGTGAGGCTACACTGAAGCCTCAGCCCAGACCGCGCGCTCCATTCGTCTCCGCCCCCTTCTGACCCGCCCCGCCCCTTTGTGTTAAGGCCACGCCCCTCTTCTTCCCGCCCCGCCCGTGGCCCTGCCCTCCGTTCCAAGTCCCGCCCCCTCTAACCCGCGCAGCCCCCCAGCCTTCAGGCCACACCCCTCTCCTTCCCGCCCCGATCCTGGCCCTGCCCTCTTCCAGCTCCGCCCCTCTCGGGTCCTGCTCCCTCCTCTCGGCTCCCGCCCTGCTCCTGAAGCCCCGCCCCCTAGCCC